TAATTCCTTTTTTTGAGGTTTGTCAACAGTTGTTCGTTGAAAAGATTTTCAAAAACTAAACAGTTGTTAAAAATTCTTTTCGAACGTGCGTGTACAAGTGAAGAATTATTTTGTTGGTAAATAAAATTAGTAATTAGTATGTTTGACAGAAGCTTAAAAAAACAAATGATTCAAATTAGTCATACACCAAGTAAACAAATGTGCTTTAATTTTTTATACTTTTTATTTTAAATTTGCATAGAAGAAGGATACTTTCCAATAATGGAATGTGTTGCTAGCATTTTTTTATACATGAGGATTAACAAGAATATGAGGAATTTGAAAAAGGCATGCTAATAACTCAATGGATAACAAACAAGCTTAACAATTATGTTAAACTTGAGTCTAATAAGCTTGGTTGTGTCTACGTGAGGTACAATAAGTTATAGCTATAGCCTGAAAAAATCACAACAACCTTTTTTAACACTGTTTTTTTTTCAAAATGTGATTTGATTATGTAGGTATAAATGAAAACATTTGTGAAAACAGTTTGTTCTGTTTTATTGGTGTTTATAATAATCTTCTAGATTTTTTTTTCTATATATCAATCAATAATTCTACACAGAAATGATAACGATAACTGTATGTCTTTTCGTACTGACAAGATTGTACTACTAGAAAAACAACTGCTTTTGTACTTTCAGTCATCCCTAGTTTAAAAAAAAAGAGGGAAAAATGAGGTAATTATATACCAGGATGAGTCACTACAAATTGCAGCTTAACCTTGAAATTTACACAAATCTCTATTCATTTCCAATAGTTTATTACGTGGTCATTTAACTAACCATATATACATATGCGAAATAATAATTGTACAGTAATTTTTCCTCACATCATTTCCTTGAAAAGCTTCAGTGAGAAAAGTCTGATATTAAAATCCTCATATTAAATCCTCATCCTCATATTGAATCCTTATCCTCATATAAATCTGATAGTATTCATACGCCATGTTTGGTTGTTTATTAGAAATAATCGAATGCTAGTGATAAAGAACTTATTGTTTGTTTATATGATGATTGTAAATATGATAAATAATTAGTAAAATACTATTGCAATATATATTTCATTTCGTAAACAAAACTGTTATCGATTGATGGTGAGTATAAATCGATGCGACTGATCTACTTTATAAACAATACGAATATTTACCTCTTTTTTTTTGAAAAAAACAAAAATGAATCTAAAAATAGTAGGTATGATTTCATTTTTAGTTATTGATAATCCATAGTAATTGAATTTCATTTTCATATAAACAAATTTTAAAACATTTGATTATGACGATATAAGGAACAGCTGTTCATCAATGAAAACTTAGAGAGTTTCATGTAAACAACAAAAAATAAAAACAAAACTAGATCAATATTGTTTGTTTTTTTAGTTTATTACAAAGTGTTTATAAGTAATATTGGGATCAATTTGTTTACGATTCGATTGTTATTTGAAATTATTCGGTTTTCATTATTATTATTATTACATACTGATTGATGCAAATGGTAGATCAGTAAGAAATCAATGAAAAGTAGATGATCTGTTCAGTTATGATGTTTGATTTGAAATTATTTTTGAAAATTACATTGTATAAATTGACATTCTATAAAAAATAACAACAACACACATTTGACCGACGCTTACTGATAGGATTACGTTGTCAATGAAGAAAAGCAAACACTGTATGAGTTAAAAGTGTTACCTCACACGATTCATTGAAGCATTCGGCAGAGTTCATTTATGAATGAATTAAATTAGAAGAAGTTGACAGAGTAAACATACTGTGATGAGAGATGTGATAATGCTCAAGAATAAATAAACAACAGCTTTTATGTGATAAACAAAAATTTACTGAATTTGACTTTTTTGGAGGTTGGCAGTCTATGCACATATCTGTATGTCTTACGAACTCCGCTCAAAGAACTCACAGTGACAATGATAAGATAAGGTAAGCTTTATCGTTAATCAATTCCTTTTGGAAGATGTGCCTAGGAATTTTTGTTGAAAATATTTGTGGAGATGGTTGAATACGAACCTGGTCAATGCAGTGACTTGAATTGATCACGCATTTCACCAAAAAAGTGCACTTTATTTCACCGAAATTTCTCTGGCACGGGATTTACCGAGCCCGGAGGGTTTACTAGGCCTGAGGCACTGACGAACTGATTCGAGCCTGTATGTCCTGTGGTACCTCCACCATTGCGCCTTCGGCAAGGCAAGAAGAGCTGATAAATGATAAGAGCATTGTATTGATAAGAATAAATAATGAACAACAAATTGAAATGGAAATGGAGAATAATAAAAAGAAAAAAAGCAATGTTAAATAAAAATATTAATAACATTTACAGCACATTTTCTATAGACAAAAAAAAGTAATTATCTTTGAAAAATCTACGATAGTACGCAGTAGTAGACAATGGAATGTAAAGGAAACAAATTCGTATTGATTGAAAACTGTTTATTAATGTGAACATGTGTAAGCTGGAAATGACGTCATCAAAATCCGAATAATCGATATGGATTTCCATATTCAACTGAGTATCTTTAATTTTTTTTCATAAATTCCTATTACATTCAATTCTTGAAAAAATCCACTAGGAAAAATAAACCTATTGGTTATGAGATAATAATAATAAAAAAAGTGAAAATGATTTGTAATGGGGTGACGTAGTGGCTCAGTGGTGGAGGTTCCGCAATGGCCGCTCGCACGAATCAGTTGTACGGTCGTCCCCCAAGCGTACCAAGCTCGCCATCCTTCCGAGGTTCGGTAAATTGGTACCAGAGAAATATGGGTAAGATAACTAGCACTGAATTGATGAAGAGTGGTTAACTCAAATCAGAGTATGAACCAGTCACGCATTCAACGACCTCTCCGATATTACGTTAAACACAAATACGTAAAAGTATCCCGCAATAAGGGATTGATCAACGGCAAAACTTACCTTATTTAATCTAAAATTTGGAAAAAAATTCCAACTTCATATTTCATACCTTAAACACATAGATAAGGTAGAAAACAACAGATCCTGTGGTGTAGTTGTCATCACATCTGTCTTACACACAGTAGGTCGGCGGTTCGAGTCCGCCCGTGATCAATTTCTTAATGTAAAACATTGTGGTGAAAAGGTCATATATATATATAATCAGTAATGATGTGCAATTGTTATGATTTCATTTATTGATTAAGCGATAATGTTTTGACTCGAAATTTTTAATACTTCAAACACATGGCTAAAGTAGAAAGCAACAGATCTGATGGTGTAGTGGTTATCACATCTGTAATGCACACAGAAGATCAGTGGTTTGAGTCCGTTGGATTTTAATCGACGTATTGCTGTAAGTGATGAATTGTACTGCAATCCATTGTTAGGTGCTTCTTTTGTACTATATGTAGCACATTGCTAAGCATTTCGCTTTAGAATCTCTAAAGTAACTCTAAAATCGTTTAAAAGAAGACGTGTCGCTATTTATGACTATGCATTAGATGAAAAATGGAAAAAAAAATTTTTTTTTAACAAACGATCGATTTCCATCGGAATCAATTTGCCGTGTAATCGATATATTGTAAAAAATGATATTGATTCGATCTGTTGGTCCCTTGTTATTAAGAATTAATGATGGAATAATTTCAACATTCTGGTCGTGCATGAAATTTTACACGGCTTTTTCGCGATCACGTCATAATGACATCATAGCGTATGAGGCTAGAGGCAATTTGAGGCGTAGAGACGCAGGTGTGCATTTTTGCTATGGCGAAATAGTGTGTGGTTTTAGGGGACGGAATCAGTCGCGTTCATAGTTTTTTTTTTCTTTCGTTCTTGCTTGTTGCCTTCGTCGTGTGCTCGCTTACGACGTTATTCGATCCGACTAACATTCGATATCATATCGATTAGTATACTGTTAACTCGTAAATCAATCAATATAATAACAATCAGGTGGGCGTTATCGTTTATCGATTAAGTGATTATTTTGACATGAATTTTTTTTTTATAACGACCAACATATTTCATACAACGACGCATAATTTATTAGAAAAATATGTCGACAATATGAAATTGTCGACAAAATATACATACATAAAATACTTAAATAATAACATTAATCACTTTAAGTCGGTACGATTTTTAGATACGCCCTCAAATGGGAACTCATAGAAAACTCCTCGAAATGTTTTTGAGGGCTTTATAATATGCGATAATTAATGAATCGATTTAAAAACACATTTTAAAATATGTATTCATAAATTTCAATTCAACTAAACAAAAAAAACATGTTGATGTGGTTTTTTTTTTGTAACGTTTCTTTACATATTAATAATACAATAATAATTTTCACATATACTAAAACTTGCTTGCGCGTTTCGCTGAAAGTGTCGCGTTTTTATCGATTTCAGATGTCAAAATACGGTAATTTTTAATGATCTACCAAATAGATATGTTGTATTTTATGAATTCGTTCACGTGTTTATATCGTGCAATTGATTAAAATGAAATCATTCTCCTCATCCTATTTTCTTTCAATTTCGTTCAATCAATACGTCTAATTATTTTGCTTCTTCTCATAAGCTTACAATGAACAAAAAAAAACTATTTGTTCTTCTTTTTTTTTTGATTGTTTATCGAAATTGTTGTGATTTTTCATTGTTGAGTGATTATTGTTGTATTCAAATCGATTATTTATTACCATTTAACATAGAAACGTAGTAGATCAAATACCAATAGGTCAATAACATTACAAAGTTTTGTAAAAGATCATGTTAAGAAATCAATAACGTACATATTTTTTTTCTACAATCTTTCGTCATCGAAACAGCCTGTACATCGTTTTCATATTTATCCTTGTTTTTTTTTTCTATTGCTTATTTGTTTACCGTCAAAATTTCCAGTCAACACTATTGATCGATTTGAAATAGTCTTCTATTGCATTCACGATACATATATTTTTTATAATCTCTTAAATATATTGTTTACTATAAAATCTTTGTTTACTTTATATAAATATCCAATTGTTTTATTTTTTTTTAGAGCTCTCAATTTTTTAATAGATCGTTAATTTTTCTAATTATTTTTATATTTGTAAATAATAGAATAATTATTAACAAACAGTATGAAGAGATTAAATGTTTAGAAATTTATACATCAATAAAATCTGTGTAAAAATTTTTATCAATTAAAAATATTAGTTAGATTTAAAGTAATTTTGATATTTTTTATTACCTCAACCTCAACCTCGTACCTCAACTGCTACCTCAACTTCAACCCTCGTACCGTAACTTCCAATTGCACACAAATTTACAAGTAATGCAGTTAAGAATGTTCTTTGAATGTCGCTAAGCTCAAAAAATGTATATATTATTTTTCTACTTAGGTATTATTATTATTATTATTATTAATATTGTTAATATGGCTTCATAAGATTCCTCTTTTTTCAGTTTTGATGTGTTCTCTATTTCTTTAGAAAAAATATTCATAAAATAATTTAACTCATTTCAATAATGCTTACCTCAAGTTAGTTATGTATTGTTTTTTTTTTTACTCAACTTCAATCATTTGTTTCTCCACATTATTTCATAATCTTTAATTTAATCTTTTAATTTTGATGTAAGCTTGTAAATAAACAATTGTTTATCATAAGTTTTTGTATACGTTTTTTTTATTGATTTTATATCGTACTTAAAAATGTTTAGTTAAAACTATATGAACGCTATTGAAATGATTAGATAAGTAGATCAAATATCAAATCGATTACTCAACTATCGATTACTTTTTTTATGAATTTGCGAAATTAATATTAAAGATTTTTTGTCGAAAACGTATAAGTTTTATGAAATTTTGAATTTCTAGCACATTGTTCACTTGAAAGTATTGATTGTTTGACGTGTAAGAGTTTGATCTACCAACTGATACATATAAAAACCACTTTATGAGATGAAATAAGCCGTAATACACTTACTAGATATCCTTTAAATTTGTATTCATTAAAATCTCTCATCTTTCTCTCGATGTCTCTTTAATGTTTTATCTTTTGTTTTTTTTTGTAAAACATATTTTAATTGAAATGAGATGAAGCTCGAATGAAAAACGATTTTATTATAAGGAATTGCATGCATCAAGTAGACGATGTGTTGGTGAGCTTAATAAACATTTTTAAGGAGGTGAGGAATGAGGTGGAATGTGTTGGAATTCAAATAAATCGAAGGAAACAAAAACAACAATGAACCAATTAAGCATAGTCATAGGAAAAATATTTGTTAAGTAATTTTGTGTTAACATATCAGAAATGATAAAAAATCAATAAATATTCAAATTCGACTAATTCTGTCGAACAACGTTGGCTGTTGTTATGATTTTCGTTCTATTTGATGATTCACCATATGCTATGTTCTTGATGCCTTAGGCTAAATCTCTTTTTTATTTCCTCTTGAATCATTGTTACCTCAAAATGAAATCCATTAATACTCAAATCAATTCTATAGTGAAAATAGTCGAATGCAAATGTTTTAACATATCAATTAAGCTTCTAGTATATTTCTGTGTTATTTTTCGTAACACACTTTTTAAGTCATTACCGTATCTGCTATATCACATCACTTATTCCTGTCATTATCACTATCGATTGAGTGAACGCACAATTTTTTGTCGTATGATTTGAAGTAAATTAAATATTTCACTCAACTGTCATTTTCATTTCACTTTAAGTAAACATGTTTGCAAAAAAAATCGATAAAATTGATTTGACGTAGTTGTCTATTTTTTCAGTACAAATTAAAAGGAAATCTCCTAAATTATGCTTCTTTGTACAGCTATAAATTTTTGTAAAGAGAGCTAATATATTCTTTATATTCAGTGATATCACTTCTTAAGTTTTTTAGCTTTATGCCATTTTTCACTGAATAGTCTTTCTTTTTTCTTCGCCTCAATATCAGCAATCCAGTCAGAGTGACAGACGTCTTTTAGGGAGGGAATGACCATTTTCAACGACCTCCGTTATGGCTGAGATTTCTGCAGCTTCTCTAGCAGCTCTTGTTCGTAATGCCGATGCAACTACGGTATATTTATGCAAATTTCTTCCAAATGGCTCCAAATTGCCAACGATATCTATGTTTGACTCAAAATGCTAGAGGGAAAAGAAACAACTTAAAATTGACTTGCCCTCAGACTACTGTGACTATCTGTTGTGTGTTTTTGTCTTACCTACATTCTCATCTAAGTAATGAGCAGACTCTGAGAGCATCTTTAAGAGGAGACTTTGCCAAGTTTATAAAGTTTCATAGAGTCAATCTGTTCAATTTTATAATTGCAGCTGAACTTTACTCACTTGAGGTAAACATTGAATCAACGGAATCAGAATTGTTTCAGCTTATAGTGGATTGTCGGTGTTTAGCTGAATTCAAACGATCACATATATGTCGTGCAATGAATCCGTTTTATTCAAAACTACTTCAACGTCGTCTATTAGAAGATAAGGTGTGTTGTTGTTGTTTACAACGTTATAAATATTTGTTATGTTATGAGGTTGTATATTGTAAGGGGAGTTCATAAATTGTTAGAGAAATGATTTCATTCTGGTTAACAAACTCATGACTCTCATATTGTGATATAGTATTGATTTTTTTCCTTACGTAACTCAATAAGTATAAACAAAGAATGGAATGATGATAAAATATGGTTTTATTTAAGAATGAAACTACATCTGCCTCCAAAAAAAAAACACGAATGCTTAAATATCTTCTCGTTTTCATAATCAGATGACTTGTAAGCTTTAATATATACAAAAAACTTATCGAGAGGTTTTGAGATAGCATCTAGTCCAGTGAGTCCATTCTTTGAGGGATTCTTTTTGAGTATTACTGTACTTACTGTACTGCCTGAGTACTGAGTTCTCGTTAATCGTCAAAAAAGTGAATCCTATGCCATTAAATATTCTATACGGATCATTTTTGTAATTCCATAGAATGACAATCGATTATTTATATAATTTTTTGTTATGCGAAAATATTATTGTTATACTTAATGTCTTTTTTTTTCTTTGATCTCCGAATCGATTTAATAGATAATTCGAATAGTTGAAGAAAAAAAACCAGTTATACTTACTAGTAATTAAAATTTCTCTTTTGAATAGATGTTTTTATTTTTAATACATTTCAAAAACTTTTCGTTTTCAGTGAATTTAAAAAGAATGAAGGAAAAAAAATGGAGTGGGTTGAAAATGACGTCATTTTTTTTAATGCTAAAAATACATCCTCCGCATTTTATAGCAATTAACATTAATCTTACTTACAAAGTTCATCGTTAAATTTATCAAAAAAATAAAAACTAAA